ATATATGAAATATTTCTTATTATTATTATATATATTATATTTTAAATAAATATTACAACAAATTTATAATAAATTTGAAGATATCAAAAATTTGATGTTATATTATTAAGAATCTACGTGTGAAGTGAATTTCTGGCAGTAAAATTAATAGTTACATCTTATTTTTTATATAATCATTTTTTAATTTTATATTTAAAGCTTGTATTGTAAAAAATTTAAATATCCGGATATGGATTTAAAAATAAAAAAATTGTGTTAACGAATATATGTCAATAATACCTTAAAATCCAAATTTAAATAATCTTTTCATAATATTGTTACTTTCAAAATATTAATCTAATCTTTAGCAATATTGTTTGTTAGAAAAAAACATTAAGATTATTAATCTAAAGCAACATAACGAAATAATATGCAAACCATTGTAAAAAACAAGACGCACTCGAAAAATATTTAGGCTTATAGAAAGAACTCCAAATGCTATTAAAAGCATGAACGAGATTTGAAATCTGGATATAAAATAGTTGCAGAATCTAAAAGCAAACGTAGGTTATTACGAATGTTATATTTATTACAGAATATATAGATACCTACGTCATAGATTTTCGATGAATATCTACAGCACGAATTAGATCTTTATAAATCCAAATCTCTTTCTGCATACTAGGATCTTTTAATGTATAAATATGTGTAGTTTTCTTGATACGATAACTGTAAATAATTTAATAACTGATAACTATAACAAGAAATAAAAATATAGAAATACAGATTTATAGAAATAAGAGAAAAAAATTGGTTTGATAATATAATAGCTCTTGATAATATAAACAAAAAATTTAACTCTTAATAATATAATTTCAGAAAATAATTTTTATTAGTATGCTCACGTTGCGCATTTATTATTGATCTGATTCTATAGCATAATACATATCTATGCACAAACACTTATTGTTATGATAAGCTTATTTGTAATAACATATAAATCCGGATATATAACTGCTGAGAATTTTCAATAACATTAAAATATGAATGTAAATATTAACTATTTCTCACGTATTTGATTTTATTCCATTAAAATTTTGCTTTTAAGATAAAGTTAAAAAGTAATTTTAGATATACTATACTGCACATCATTGTAAGGAATCATGCATACTAAGATTTCGTTATTTTAATAAAATAACTATTTAAATTTATAATTTTAAGCTAATTAATAACTGATATGTTATAAAGTAAATTTTTCATATCAAAACAAATACGTTTTATAAATGAGAAAAAAAGTCCATTTCTAATTTAAATTTTGTAACAACTTTTAAAATGCTTATTAACATCAAATTATTGATTATTTCCCATATTGATTAGCATCAATATTATTATTGTAGCAGTTGCTTTTCAATTTAATTGTTTGATATTTTTACTTCAGTTCTTTTCATGACTATGTTTCATGACTGAAAATGATATCGGCACATAGTTCACAGAATTAGGTATACATCTACTCATAAAATTCACACCGAAGTATTTAAACACAACTTAAAATACAACTCATACCATGTAGACTTTTGTTCTTATTGTTAATCGTGTATTCTCTCAGCTCAGACTCTTTGTTAAATTATTTAATTATTATATGTTTATTATGTTACCTAGCAATTTTGAACATTCCGCAGAAATGTTGAAGATATGCAAGGAGCAATGATCCTGTCGTTATTAATGCTGTGCTCCCTATAGTAAAACTTGCACTTATATGAAAAAATAATAAATAGAAATGTTTTTGTTGATCGATAAAATATTCAGTGGAGATCGCAGGCGGCAGGTGATGTAATCGAGATACGTTTGTAGATAATACAATAAATTCCATTAGAGAGGTGCTCATATATACAGATATGCTACAAATAAGAATCACTACTCATTATTATGAAATATCAAATATAAAATATATTTTTTAATACTCTTTAAATTTTATATTATT